GCCTGAAGATGAAAATTTTATATTAGAGTACTTTATGCCATATTTGGTCAAAGGTTTCTCTACGTCAAGAACGCAAGTTGTTATATATTACTTTTAGTGAAAGCCTCCGCAATAATCTCTACAACGTTGAGAATTTGTAACGTTGTACAGTGACCACGCCTGAAGTAGAATGGATCGTTATTAATATTATTGTGATATACTAGAAATTCATTGTCTTTCAAGAAAAATCCTTTCGAGTATTTTTCCGATGCACAGAAGCAAATTGACTGGCAATAACTGGCTGGCAGCCTAGAAGTAGAAAATTTTCCAGGTCTTAAAACAGTAACATTCACAGCATGCTTCCATTGAGCTAGAAAGTAAGCCAAACGCAGGTAAGCATTTATGATGTACTAATAAGTACTTTTAAATTTCTTGGTGCCTCTTTGATAGCCCTGTTGGTAATTTCACAAAATCTTTAGATTTTTTAACATTTAATTTTTTGATGCTACAAGCAATTTCTTGAGGAGTCGTATGTGGGGTTATTCTAGTAAAATCTGTTTGTAAATATAACATAAGCTCGTTATGAATCATCTAATTTGGTCAATTTTTGTTTTAAATTTAACGATAAAAGTATTCCACGCATGAAATTATATCCAGTAAAGATATTGATTCCACATTTGATTACCTAGCCTGTACCTTAAACTAAACTACGAGGAATTTGGCATGGAGCTAGGAACTTAAGTTTTAAAATGCAACGTCTTATTTTCCAGAATGAGATCAAGACATCATGTGATCAGTCCTTGCAATCACAATATTCAGAACATATAAAGTCTCTAATGAGTAATGACAGCAGTCTTTGCCGTAACGCTGCCGGAATACGCAAACAGAAAGCACTGATTGCATTCTTTGCTATCGATGCAGTAGTAGCTCACACAGACTCGGAGAAAGTTGAGCTTATTGCTAACAGTTCTCGAAAGCGAGTTTAGTAACTTCACTTTTTGAGGTTAGCATATATATTGCTAAATATAAGCCTAAAAATGCACGTTGACTGCACTCTTTCTCCAGTCGTATGGTCAAAATAAATTTGTTTTTCCCCTCCATAATAATGATAATTTCTAATTAACTTTATGTACACATTAGAAAATTATTATTTCCATAATTAATTGCTTATTAAGTACATTGCTATTTTCCAGAAAGACAGAAACGCAAATTAATTAAGCCTATTCCAAACCTGTCCAGTGCCGCTCGAACGCTCAAAATTACAGACGTAGCAATCTTCTATCTTCGTTATCAAAGGTATATTAATTTCTATTGCTTGAACACTTGAATGTGCAGCAAAACATCAATACTGATGAAATGTTTGGATTCCCAATTAAAAGACACTGGCTTCTACGGACTGCTGGAGTATATTCATGGAAGCTTTCGCATATATATATATAAAAGGCGTAAGGAATATAATTTATTTAGTATTAATTATATAACGAAAGAGAAGCCTGCTTATATTATTTCGTGAATGAAAAATAGGGCAAAAGTATTTTTTAAGTCTAGTTATGCGGTTTTACCTTGGGTGAAGAATGTGAAATTGAATTTTTCGACATAAGTTTTGATTCGAAGAAGTAAAGAATTCTACAATCAAATATAATCCAAGAATTTGCTGACCACCAGTGTTTTAGTAACCCCTTGCGATATAAATAATTCGAAATTACTTCTACTAACGTATTAAAAGTGTATTCCTTTGTATTATTTTTAATGAAACTGCTTTTGTTTTTGAAGCAAAGCGTGGTGGTTATAGAATATAGGTTAGCTCATTATTTGCTTTGTAATTAGGTTGTCTTTACATCACGCGTTTTGCTGGAATATTTGCTTTCCAGCTAGACGGTCTTTACACTGCTTTTAGCTTACGAATGCATTCCCGCTATATTTCGGATTTTTGATATGGAACGTGAGTGACGACAATTAAATTAATTTAAAGTTGACGGAAATTGTAACAAAAACCTATAACATAGACATTTTCCCAAAGAAGTATGCTTAAAGCAGTACGTTTTTTCAATTAACAAACAATAAGCAATTTGAGAGTTGGAAGCTTTAAGGAAAATGAAGTTAGGCCAGATACCTGTGTTATGTTTTATTCTGGAATTTATATAACACTAAACGGAATGATTTATCATTCAACCCACTCAAATAGCAGTAGGCATTATTATTTATTTTCTGAAAATATAAATTGGGATTTCTAACAGGATTTGATGTATTAAACTTGCAGGCGACTTTCGGCGTTTAATTAGCAAATATCCGGTTAATTATTGAAATGATGATTGAATAATGCTAAGAATCATCAACAGGATTGAAACGCTCAAGACCAGCACTGCAAATAAAGCGTCCGTAAATAATTATACAAAATTTACTTTTCAACATCCCTTTCAACAGCAGTATTTTTGAAACCTTTATCCAATGAAGGTGATATACTATATAGCAAAAAATAATAACTTCGCTTTCTGAACATTTTATTAACTGAAGAAAACAAAGCTGAATTATTATTTATGCATTTTGTTTCTCAAGTTAAAACTTACGAATTCTTTGCAATATTTCTCTCGTAAATATTAGCAACTATTACTCGTACATAGTTATGTAGTTTTTAAACACTATCCTTTTGGAGAAGGATGCCTTCGGGAACGCCTTTTTGAGACTATCTGATTCGTCTTCATGTTGTACATGAAACAAAAATATAACACAAAAATTAAGATCACACAGAGAGCCCTTTAGTCTGGACGCACCCAGTCTTGATGAATTAACTTTGAACATCGTATGAATATTGAGCTGCATGTTTTTAGTGTTCGCAAATTAAATGGAAGCAATTTAGATAACACGAATATGCGATATCGCGTTACGAAGTTTCATGTTATGGAAGGGTACTGCAAAGAATTGGAGGGTTATCTGCTTATATAGAGAGATCCTTCATTGGGGGATTTTCTATGAGTTAATTTATGTTTTTATTTAGATATGGCAAAGCGCACAACTATATTTAGGGATTAGAGTTGTAAAATGCATTAGTCAAATATTTACCTAATGCTATAAGGTATTTTTTCCCTCATTGGTCTATGCCTTCCTGTTGTAAGGGTGGCACACTCGTCGCGTATTCGAGAGGTCCAGTTTCGAGTTCCGTCGAGAGCATTGCTCATTTATCACGTCTTCTTCTTCATAAAAAACCTAATTACTCTACAATGCGACTATGGCACAATGCGAAATATGGCTTGTTTCTTATAATTTGTAACAATAATTTTAAAATCGGTCCCTTACAAACATAGCTAACCTTCAAATGAGAGCGCAATTTGGACAAATTTTCACGCTAAGTAATGTGATAATCCCACAATCGAACACAAAGAGTATACAGAAGTAAGTTATTTTTTTACCGAAGGACATTCGTAGTTTATAGATCTTTACACCCTCTTGCACTTATATGTGCAAATAAGTAACTGGATTTTTATTTAAGGATTGGTTTTTAAATTGTTTTCTACTAAACGTTGAACACTATTTAACGCAAAAATGACAGCTTCAAGGCGATATTACTACTTGATAATTCTCCAGGTCACCCATAAGATTTGAAACATCACAACGTCAAAATACTCCTAACACCTAAAGCTAATTCTTTGATACAAGCATTGGATTAAGGTATTATTTATACCTTTAAAACACAATACAATGGATTTTAGACATGACAGTTTCAGAATCAGTTAATATAAGGGAAGCTTCGAAGAAATTTTCAATCGCGCTCTGTATCCAAATCATATCTTTGCCGCTAAAAGAACAGAAAACATGAACGCTAAGTGCGTGTTGGAAGAAAATATAGCCCTTTAACGCTGACTTCAGTTGAAATAGAAAACATGCATGAATCGTCAGAAAAAGAACTTGGTGGCACTTGCTGAATCATAGAGGCGAAGGTTCTGATAATATTTGGCTATTGAGGACGTTCGAGATTGATTCGAGTGGAAGGTGGGTGACTAAACGAATTTGCGAAAGCGAAAAGTAGGAGAAAAATTACAAGTCCATTTTTATCATCTGCTCAACCATTCCCAGGGCAAGTAAAACTTTATCCTGCGGCGATTCAATTTTCTTACATTTTTCAACAAATTCTAGGAATTTGATTGCAATCATCTGTAGGTTTTTATCCATCGCGAAATGAATTAGAATAGAAAATTCTGTTAGAAATCGCAAATTATATTTTAAAAAAATATTAACATGCTTGATTGATAAATTATTCCGTTTAGCATTTAGCAACAAGCTGTTATTACTAAAACATAGTCTTATCATTAAATATCATTAAAATAAAAATACTTCCTTCACTCAACCCAGATACCGAGCAATCCAGAAAAACTAAAGACAAAACTTGCTCACTTACCTGGGTAGTGTGATGTTGAATCTGTAATAAAAACTCTAAGAAGTTGATTTATCTAATTATATTCTCTCTATACTACAAAATATATACATTTTTTAACAATTGTCGGGAAATTTTTCTGGCCCCGAAAGTTATTACACATCTTAATCAGTTCACGTCACGAGGTCGAAAGGGAAAAACCCTTTTTTTCTTCCTACTTCAATGACAGCCAACGCCATCTGTGTCTCGTACATCAAAATGAAGAGATTTGTTTTTAATATTTGTTAGATACAACTAATCAGTTTCACAACACTCCCACCTTTTTGATTTTCAGAAGGAAAATCAAAAATCAAATAATGCTATCCTTAGTACAGGAATACACTTCTAGAGGGTACAGTTTACGTACAGGACGAATCAGTATGCCATTTCTAGTTTTCACTTTTACAACTCTTACACGTCCATCTCTTCTTGTACAAAGTTCTTGGACACTGGCAATTGGCCAGTTCACTCTTTTAAGGTTTTCACAAACTATTAGCACGATGTCTCCAACTTTTAATTCACAGTCCGTCTGTCCATGCTTTTGTACTAACTGTCCAAGGTACTCCTTGCGGAAACGGCTACGAAATTGTTCTCGAAGTTCCTCGCAGAAACGCTAACGAGCCAAGAGTTTATTTCGATCTAAAGCACCCAAATCTGCTGTACCTGAAACCTTAATGTCCTGTAAGAACATGGAAGGCGTTAATGGTAGAAGATCCTCAGAGTCATTTGACACATAAGTAAGTGGTCGACAGTTTATTACGGCTTCCACATCACAGATGGCGGGCAGTAACTCTTCGTAATTGACTGCAGCTTGTCCTAAGACTCTCACAATCAAATTCTTGGCTGTGCGGATTAGACGCTCCCACCATCCGCCCCACCAAGCAGCAGTGGGCGGAATGAACTTCCAAGTGATGGGATGCAAAGTTTCCTGAGCAATTACCTTTACCCAGTCAACCTTTTTCAGCAATGCAGATGTACCGACGAAATTTGTGCCGTTGTCTGAATAAACTGTAGATGGCCGACCTCTTCTGGCTATGAACCGACGAAACGCTTGAATGAAGCATTCGGTACTTACGGATGTCACTAGTTCCAAATGTACACATCTATATACAGCACACGTAAACAGTACTACCCAGGTTTTGTTTTTATTTTTGAGAATCAGAGGGCCACATAAATCTATGCCGGTAACTTCAAATGCGAAAGCATCTCGAACTCTGTCTAATGGTAATTGAATGGGTGCAGTAGTTGGAGGTTTTGCTGAAAATCGTTTACAACGGACGCACTGTTTCACCACCGATCTAATTCGGCGTCTTGCACCAATGATCCAGAATTCTTCTCTAATTATAACAGTTAATGCTTGTACGCCGGCATGAGAATGCTTTAAATGGTAATCTCTAATTAAACAGTCAACAATACAATGCTTAGAAGGTAATAAAATCGGGTACCGGAATGCATAAGAATCATCTCGGTGATTTTCGTTTTTACTCTTCTTAAGCCACTCTGATCTCGTACGGTCAAAAGACCATTGATGGAGTCTCCAGTCTCTGGAAAACTCTCCCCCTGAACAAATGAAAGAAGTATAATTTTAGATTCCTTTATCTCGGAAGCAGACAGAAAAGGCTCTTTATTTACAATTTTCTTTTGACAATTTTTGATAAATCTTTTTATCCAACCTAAAACTCTTAACATTTTTGAAAATTTAGAAAACTTCTCACACCACTTAACTTTATCTGCTTTTGTAGTTATACTAAGATTTACATTTAAATTTATGCCTTTCCTGCGCTCTGAAAAAAAACTAAAGTTTCATTTGGCTTAACCTCTAATTTTGGCCAGCTATCTCTAGGGTCCTTTGAGCCAAACAGGCCCTCTCCACCAATTTAATTCGAAAACTGAAGAGGGGAACAACCACGAGAAGGTAAATCAGCTGGGTTAGAATGACCCTGTACATATGACCACTGATTTGCTTTAGTGAAAGTCGCAAATTTCCTTCACGCGATTGCCCACAAAAGTCCCCCACGCATCATTTCTTTGAATCCAAGATATGGCCGTGGTGGAATCGGTCCAAAAATATTTTGGGATGTCATCCTAATGTAAGAGCTTCTGTCACATATTTGGAAAGACGCACGCCCAAAAGACAGGCCATAAGTTCTAGACGGGGAATAGTAAGTTCTTTTAAGGGTGCGACTCTTGACTTAGCCATTACAAAACTGACTAATGTTTCTTCTTTAGTTTCGCATCTCAAAAATATTACCGTGGCATAAGCATGCTGGCTAGCATCACAAAATACATGAAGTGTCCAGGAACTTCTATCTCCAAAACCTATACGTCGCGGTATTCTCAACTTATTCAAAATTTGTAATTTATTATACCACCTCGAAAATTTACTTTTGATACTATCTGGTAATGGAGTATCCCAGTCTGCTTTTATCGCCCAAATTTCCTGTAGCAGTAACTTTGCAGGCAATAAAACAGGTGTCAAGAAACCCAAAGGATCAAACATTGTCTGCGTTACTGACAAAACCTCTCTTTTAGACAAATTATCCGAAACCAATACAGTCTTAATTTCAATATAAAGGTTATCTTCTATTCTGTCCCACATAATTCCTAAAACTGGTACAGAATTCTCCATTGTGGACTCAACGCGCAAAGCACTTTGGGTTAGTTCCACATCTTGTTTCTACTGGGCCATAGGTCCACATACGTAAGTCCATTTTCGCTTCAGCTAATATTTCAGTAGAATATTTCACAAAATTCACAAGCTCTTTTTCGTTATCAACAGAAGTCACACAATTATCAATATAAAAGGATTTATTTAATTTCTGAGCAATAGAACTTTGTTCCTTTGGTACTTTTGCCAAATGAACTGAAATAACCGACCCTAATAGAAAAGGGCTGGACTTTACTCCAAAAACTACCCTCGTATGGCGGAAAAACCTTCAGTACATTATCTTTCTCCCACCATAAAAATCTTAAAAAGTCCCTATCTTCTTTCCGTAATTCAATCTGTAAAAATGCACGCCGGATATCAGAGGTTACGCCAATGCATTTTTCTCTAAATCTTAACAAAATTGAAGGGATTTCTTCTATTAAATTTGGTCCTTTTACTAAATAATCATTAAGGGAGGGCGATCTATTAACTTTACATGATGCGTCAAAAGCAGGTCTTATCTTAGTTGAGACACTGTCTGGTTTAAATACTGGGTGATGCGGTAAGTAGTGCTCCTTTATAATTCAGTTCATTGTCTGGTACTATTTCAATTACACCCTCCTCCATCCATTCATTAAAAATTCTATCATATTCTTCATATTTATGTAAAGTAAGACTTGAGTTTTCGGGTGACACTGAACAATCTTTTTTCTGCTACATGACGATTTGATGGCAATTCTGCGTTATATACTAACCAAGGTAATCCGACACAATAACGACCATCTTCGTTTCTGGAAAGAGAGTTTAAAAATTGTTCGTGGGCAATTTCTTCCTCAGCAGCGTTAGTTGAATTCTGGTGAGCATCTAATATTCCGATCGTTTCTAAACTCCAAAGATCGGAGATTTTAAAGTCGTGACCCACTAAACTTGCACACAAAATGGAAGCATCTTTATCTTTGTGATTAACAAATTCCTCCGATACACCACAAACTGTCCAACCAAGTTTTGTACAAACTGCTGTTAGTCCTCCTTTTAATTGTTTTACTGATCCCGTGAGAATTTTTTCCATAAATATCACTACCGATGAGCATTTCTATTTTTGGACAATCTGCTCCCAGATCCGACAACCAAATGTTGTTTCGTTTTAATTCTTTTAATATCGGACCCTTGGGTACCCGAGGTATATCCCCACATATTATGTCTTGATCTAAAAATTCAAATTCTAGATCTGAATACTTACGCGGACTGGCTGAACATAATTTTACCAAATATTTGTTATGCATCTTTGCCTCTGTTCTGGCACCTCCAAATAAAGTAAGAGCAACATTTTCTTTGGAAATAATTGGTAACCCCAATTCAGTGGCTAATGATTTCAAAATATACGATTTCTGGGAACCACAATCTAAGAGTACTCTAACATCTTTATGCTTTTTGACACCAGCTACTCTTACGCATAAAGTCATTAAAGCTACGTCAGCGGTACAAGTTTGCCTGGCTGTAGCCGTATGTATGTTGTCTATTTCTGATTTTTCTGTAGAAAGTTCAGTTTCATTATTAATGTCCGGACACAAAATAACTGAGTGTGATTTACCACAAGCAAAACACCTAACAAACTGTTTGCAGAACTTTGCCATATGATTTGGTTCCAAGCATTTTAAACAGCATTTTTTCTCCTTAACTTTAGAAATCCTTTCATTAAGAGATAATGAACGCGCATCGTAACAATTTTTACTATCATGCATTTTACCACAAAATACATGCATGTTCTCTGGTTGTAAGAAAACCTGTGGCAGTGGGAACAATTCCCTGTTTCTTAAATTTAAATTTATTTTTTGTTTCCCTCTTTGCTTTATCATGATATCCTTCTTTACGACTAACACCATCGAGTCCATTACGCGCCAATTTTAATCTCTCCTCACCCTCCACTTCAGACTTTAAAAATTTCATTAAGTTGGTAAGGCGAGAAAGATCAGTTCCTTCAGGCTGGTTAAAGAGCGAACTCCTTTGCCACGCCTTTAAAACATCCTCTGTGAGACACGATTCCACCATCGGAAATAACCACGATGTGTTTTCGCTCGATTTAAGACCTAAAGACTCTAAGGCTCTCAACTGAGCTTCAATTTTATCATACAGTTTATCAAGAGGTAATTTATCCTTTTGATCTGCCTTCACATTAGAAACAATTAATTTAATTAGTTCCCTAACATACACTTCTACTAATAATTCAGGTTTCCCAAAACGTTCCTTCAAAGCTAAAACAGCTTTATCATAATTTTCCGAAGTCACCGGATAGCTTTCAATGAATTCTTTAGCACGTGATCCGGGCTTCATACACTGAATCAAATAGGAAAATTTGTCACTTTCATATAAATCAGGGTCAGTGTGAATTTTCTCAAACTGCGACCAAAACGGTAACCAATTTATCAATTCCCCATCAAACTTCTTAAGTTCGATTTTCGGAAGTCTATACTGTTTAATCTTACTACAACAAATACCAGCACCATCATTTGGTCTTGTTTCTAAATTGATTTCATCTGAAAATTGCAATTTTTCATTAATTTGCCGAGTTAGTGTTATGAAATCATCAGAATACACCTCGCGACTTTCGATTTCTTTAGTAACATCATCCTCTAAAGTTTTCCCGTCTTCAGCTAACAAATCAAGAATTTTATCATCTACATTTTTTATATCTGAATATACATTTTGTAGTTTAGTAAGTTTATCTCGTACTAAATCTACAGAAAAATCTTCTTTTACTAATTCCGTTTTTAAAATATTAGCAGTTTTTGCAAAAGAAGTGCGTAAACCTGCCCGTTTAAGTTTCAGAGCCTTTAAAGCTTCCATAGTTAACTTTCAAAATAAACTTTCAAAATAAAACAAACTGCTTTACAAAATAGTTTCGAATTTAAACTTAATTATACTTTAATACATCAAAAACTATCTATAACCATTAAAATAATTTTTTTTTTAAAGTTTATTTCTTAGAGTCCTGTCACGGGACGCCAATTTTTTTGTTATTACTAAAACATAGTCTTATCATTAAATATCATTAAAATAAAAATACTTCCTTCACTCATCCCAGATACCGAGCAATCCAGAAAAACTAAAGACAAAACTTGCTCACTTACCTGGGTAGTGTGATGTTGAATCTGTAATAAAAACTCTAAGAAACTAATATGTTGATTTATCTAATTATATTCTCTCTATACTACAAAATATATACATTTTTTAACAATTGTCGGGAAATTTTTCTGGCCCCGAAAGTTATTACACATCTTAATCAGTTCACGTCACGAGGTCGAAAGAAAAACCCTTTTTTTCTTCCTACTTCAATGACAGCCAACGCCATCTGTGTCTCGTACATCAAAATGAAGAGATTTGTTTTTAATATTTGTTAGATACAACTAATCAGTTTCATACAAGCGTTTACACTTTGTTATATAAATTCCTGAATGATACCTAACTCGGTATTTTTATATTTAGTATAAATTCGCTTCCCTTAAAACTTCCAAAGGTCTCAAATTGCTAATTCTAACTCAATTGACAAACCGTGCTGTTTTTAGAAAATTGCTTTTGAAATATGCCTATAATTTTTTTAAAATTTTGTTACAATTTCCTTCAATTTTAAATTAATTGAACTGCCGGCACTCACGTTGCAGATAAAGCTCTAAATGTAACGCGAACACATTTATTACGCAAAAACATTCTAAAATCAACCAACAACTTAATAAGCAAATAATTATCTAATCTATGGTTGAAAAGCACTGCTTTGCTTCGAAGACACAAAGCCATTTTTTTTAAAAAAAAAAAGCCTGTAATCATTTGCGAGATTGTTTGAAGTATTTTCAATCTTTTTATAGAACACAAAAATACGCAAAACCTGGTGGTCAACATTTTGTAATATTTCATATTAGGTATTAGCTAATATTCGCCTGCTTTGCTGGGCGCACAATATATTTGAATATGAACTTAGAGTTCTTATATGGACGAAATGTCTAATTTCGAATTAATAATAAATGTAATTTTTTAAATTTAAATACGGGAAATACTGTGCCAGTCAGTGAATCTGCCATACACGGAATTCCACATCACTATGTGGGTGGATTACTGGGATGCGTCCCTATTATGTAACGTGGCGGGATCCCCAATAGGCCTACACTACGGAAAATTGCCAACATAAAACTTAGGTTTATATATATTTTACTGTTATCATAAGTTTCATGAAAATAAATGTTATTATATTTGTTATTAAATTTCTTAATAAATTATAATTAATTGTCTTTGATTTTTTATATATGACAATTTTTATAAATAACAAGAACGTTTTTATTTTTTCATCCCAATAATTTATTTCTCTTAATAATAACATTTATTTTCATGAAACTCATGATACCTGTTAAATATAAATGTTATTATTAACCTTATCATTTAAATGTTGTTATTATTTGGATAGATGCAAGTTATTCACCAATTTAATAATTTTAAAGAAAAATGCAATCATTGGTAACATTGTATTTCATATCCAGTATGGCGACCTGCCTACTACAACTCAACACTGACAGTCTGGTAACTGATAGCGACGAAAAACAAAATAATGTTTATTCTATTGTTAATATGGTACCAAAAAAAAAAAAAAAAGCAAAGCGATATTATTAACTTTCCGTTTTTGTTATCATAGTTGCTTGTCCAGCTACGCTTTATTTATTATTTTTCACAACCGCTTATTATACAAATTAAATTATTTTTATTATTGTTATTATATTAAAAGCAGCGTGTCTGTCTCAAAAAGTTAGACATATCTAGTTTATATCTATATTTCCTTTATTGTTGCCTAAAGACAACAATAAAAGAAAATTCTGAACTCGGATTTGAAATCCAAATGTATGAGAAACTTCTAGTGTATAACAAAAATCCATTTAAAACAGGATTTACGTAAAATCCGTTCTTAGTGCGCAATTACATCGTGAAAAGTGTAACTATGCAAAATTTTATGTCAATTGGGTGTATAATTTCGGAGATTTCGTGATGAGTCAGCGGTATTTCTTTGCAAGCAAAATTAGGTTAACCATCGAAACTATACAATACACCTATAACAATACACCTTCTAACACTTAGATTAGAGAGAAATATTGTGTCTATATTCACAGAGTTCGTTGCGTTTTCGAGCAGTTTAATGTTATGCAATAGTGTATATGCAAAGCTTAGAAGTAAAACAAAATCTTGGAAATAAAGGCTTTAACCAAAATGAAAAGTTAACTGTAAGAAAATTTATACTTTGTTGGTATGGGAATTACAAAAAAAAAAAAATCTAATAATCTATCGATATGTTTATACTTTTATTATCAATATAAGCCATGTATAATGATTTAAAATGTATGCACATTCAGTTATCCAGAGTGTTTTAGACGAACCTTTTTTTTCTAAAAAGGGTTTAGACGTAACAGCAATTCGATTGAGGCGAAGGCTCTGAATAAAGCCCAATGGGTTTCGATGGTAGTAGCAATGGGACACTTTCTGAAGGAATAACAAGGAAGATTTGGGCTAAAGTATGGCTTTGCTTTATTATAAACATAATACTCATATTATCAGAACCAGAGGGAATACTTATGTCACAAAGCATCGGAATGAAGTAGCATTTCTACTGCAAATGCAAAAATTAGAACCTACCTGAGCTTACTAATGAAAAGTAATATTTTATAAAACAAATTACGATTCAAAAGACTTTTATTCGCATAACTTAATCGTGCGTACTTACTTTACCCGTACATAATCTAAAACATATAAATGTTGTTAAATAATCCGTTCATTTGAAATTTCTGAAACTCAAAAATATATTAATTATGCGCTATTAATCTGCCTTTTCACACTTAATCCGATCGAAATAATATAAACAAAATTTTCCCTTTATAATTTGAAAGGAATTCATTTTCTTTATTTGTTTTAAAATTTGCGTAAAAAATTAACTTGTCCTCCAAATTATACTAATTAACAATAAGAGTGAATTGTTCATTATGTTCTGTTAATTATAATATCGATTAATCATTCTTCCTGCGTCTTATTAAACTTGAGTCCATGTAGCTGTGATTTTGGTTAACCGTGAAAGTATTTGGTATATGAATCAGTGGAATGCGTATACTTACTAAAAGTTTGTCGTTTATGCGAGTATAAGTGTGGTTGGCATCGGAGCATTCGGACTTGAGGTCCAATCTCCACCGAAATTGGTTGATTATTACGAAATAGTCAACGTTCCAATTAACTGATGATCAAAAAAGAGTTACTTGAGAATTTAAATGAAATATAAGGACATTGACCCGAGGGTTAAAATTTTGCAGGTTGATGAATAAGTTTATTACATGCAATGACTGCTAAAAGTTCTTTAAATACAAATCAAAGCACATACTTACACAAGCAAGAGGAAGAATTTAGGCAACATTCATAATACATTAAATATTAGGAAATCAAAGAATAACATCATTCCTGTCTATGATTCTGATTACGATTCTTATATGAAACGCCAAATGATCATTCTGATTTTGATTTGGTTTATGTGATTATGGTAAAACGAAACTTAGTGGTGTGATTGCCTTCACGGTGTACTTTCTAAGAGAAATTGGCTCATATGCATTTTACGCATGGGTAAAACAACGAAAACCGTCCATGCAGCGAACCCCTTTTGCGGGACTTCGAACCTGGGACCGAACTACCAGTTTCAGCAATTTTACCGCTGGACCGCTGGTGAGCTCAAATGGCCATCTTAAGCAGTAAATTATAAATAACTCATTTACCTGTGTCTATTTCGTTCCCTGAATCATACACATTTTGTAACTTTTTATGGCTTCTGTATTAAATAGAAACTGTGTGCCAGAGGGATCGAAGTAGGCTCGAAATTGTGCTATGGCCTATTCCTCGTAATTTACATGGCTCCTTACAAACCATGGGAAGCAGGCGATTTTGTCCGAGGCTCTTCAATCTTGTACAGTCTGAAGATATTTCTAGTTCGTTTCTCAAGAGTATATCCAAACAAGGCAGCATAACTAAGCGTGGGACGC